GCACACAAAATATTTTCTCATTTTATACTGACGATGATTTCCCATCGTTGCCTCGAAGTTAATCTGAAAGATAGCAAAAACATTTGCCTCAAAGTGTGCTGTTTGATTGCTTAAGCTGTCAATTATTAGACCCAAATTCAAAGCAATCTGAAAAGAACATCAAACAACACTTTCAATCAAATGATTTCTGTTAACCTGGCTTTGTTTAGAACCCAACTTTGCCTTGGGGCACCCATTGAAACGGTTCGACCAGCATCAGCTGTCGAAAATATGACATAAAAAAGATTCGATTAGCCTCAATTGTTCTGAGACCACTGCCAGCAGACCAAAGACTGAGGCAACGAACTTGAAATTGAAAAACCAAAGCAGAAACAAAAGAACAGAGCAGAGCCTTACTGAAATGAACTGAAAAGAACAGAACAGAACTGCGCGGAGCAGAAAGCTTGACAACGATGATGGGCAAGATGATGATCGCGATGATGACGATGGCGTAATGTACAAATCTGTGAAGTACGTGTTGCTGAGTATCGTATCCAACTTCAGTTTGCAGTCCACCACAGCGGCAGCGGCTGAGGCTGTGGCTGTGTATGGGACTTAATATATGAGTTGGGTAAATGCTGCCAGCACGTGCTTGAAACGAGCGTCACTGTATATTACCACAAAATTATAGCGGTTTGCAATAAGAGCCGCGGCCACGAAGAGCCGGGCTTGATGCTGAGGAGCGATGATATTTAGTTTTGCCTAGAAGTGCCAGCAGCCGGCCAGCAACGTAATCGATAACCAGTTCCGAATTGCGGCAATGAAACCGAAAGCGGAAAAGCCAACTCAGCTCTTGGCCCGGCTCAAAGCGGTTCAGGCCAACTGATCGCGGAGAATCGGGGGCTGAGGCAGCCGAGGTAGTCGAGGCAGCCAATGAGCCGTGTGCCAACTGCACATGCTGAAATTATTACGCTAAATTGGCCAGGAGATCGCCTTGGTCTTACGGTATCTTCGCCAGCTTGCGGTTACCGCCCAGGGATGCAAAACCAGTGGGCTTAAAGGAAAGCTGCACCATGGCTTGGAATGATTGATTTAAGGTCTTAAAGCTTCTAAATGGCTAGTTTTAAAGTAAATCATTGCAAAAAGTTAGTTCTCGTAAATCAATACGTTACGGGTTTACTTTTAACAGCTTTCTTTTACACAGTTTTACATAAACTTATTTTAATACGGGAGTCTTACTAGACATTATTCTTTTTTACTACTTTCAGCAACTTGCATTCTGCCATTAATATTTTATGAAATATAATTCTTTTCTTAGTTTAAATTCTATTTGCAATTAAATTGTTATTTTGTATGGCTCCAATAGGTGTTATTCTAATCTCATACACAATATTTAAAAAATGGTTCAGTCTTATTCAATATTTCACTCACTGATCTTAAGTCGGAGAATAAAAGATGTAGAATTAAACCTTAACCTTCTTAGTCCGCATTTACAGCCCAGCAGTTTCATCCATATTAACCCTATCTATTATTAATTATTTTCACAATGAAAAAACATTTATCAACCTGGTTGAAGATTCCGCAGTATTGTTAGTTGACTCAACTCAACAGAAATGTAAATTGAATTGTAGCAATTCGAAGGTCATACGCCCTTAGCCGAAATATGCAAATTGCCGACAGTTGCGGCCATGTGAAAAACGCTTTTCTTCCGCCTCTAAATGGGAGGGAAAACCTCCGCATCGCAGTTCATGACAATGAACTCTGGCTGTGGCAGCCAGAGGGGAGAGGTTGAGGGGGGCTGGGATTGTATGGGATGGGATGGCTTAGAACGAACGTGGCCAATTAGTTATAATGCTGCTTCGTGATATCACAACATCTGGCAACTCACTCTCAAAGATCCAGACAACGGCCAAGGCAAAAGCAACAACCTTTGGGGCTGCAGCCGGAGGCAGAAAGAAAGAGTCAACGCCGAAGCCAATGAGGAAAAGCAAAAAGGCAAAAAAAGCAAAAAGGCAGCGCTCGCCGAAGAAATTACTCAAGTCTGCAAAGTATGTAGCAACTAGCAACAGCAACAGCAGCAGCAGCAGCAGCAACAAAAAGCAAACTCGACTGTGGCAAGAACAACAGCAGCGAGGCAACTGAGCCTACAACAAAGGCGAACAATGACAATCTGCACGTAGCAATCAGTCAACGTGCGGCAGTTGGTTTAACTTTAACTTGTTGCCAGCCAGATAGAAGATACTGGGCTTAGGGTAAGGAAGCAGATGCCCAAGGGGCGGGGGCAAGCCGACAAACTGCAAAATGCAAACTGCAAGCTGCAAAATGCAAAACGTGGCTCTAGAGATGGGCAATTTTAATGAATTTTCCCCAGCCGGTGAAAGAGGCAGGAATAATTAAATGCAAGTGAGGAAAAGTAAAAACAGCCAGCGACGGAAAGGGGGATTAAAAGTGAGGAAATAATGAAGATGGAATAAATCGCCGCAGTTTAAAGAGGAGAATAATAATATGAAGAATTTCTACGGTAGCCCGGAAAACATGCTTTAGGCATATATCTCTAATAGCGCAGGAACTAAACTTAGATAAAGGAAGATAACCAATTATTCTGGTATGGATAGAGTTTATTTCCACGAATGGGTTTTGTAATTAAATATTTGTAAGATTACAAAAGCCATTTCATATTTTTTCGTTCTACGAAAGGTTTGATAGAGAACACATTTCCTTTATTACAACAATTAAGATTCAGGGTCACGTACTCTTGTCATCTCTAAGCCTTGTAAGGCCTTTGGCCGCCCCCACACATGGATACACCATGGAGTCACCACCAGCAACCACACCACCACCGAAACCATTGCATTGCGGAACATGCACAGAAACGCCAATCTTAAGACTGGCCATACATATTTGCACTTAATTAGCGTTTTTCGTTACATTTCGCCTCGTTTCGTTAAGTTGGCTGTCAGCTGTGAGCTAAAGCCACATATTTAATGCTGGCGCACATAATTCATAATGGCCAAATGAGCTGACAGACGGCGCAAATCGCAGAGAAAGATTTTCTAGCTGGTCTCGGGCAAAACGGAATTAAGCCAAATTTGCCGCTTCAGCTGGCGGCTGCTGTTGGAAAACTAGTTTCTTTTTTAACGCGAAATGCAAAAGCCTGCCCACCGCAGATACAGATATGTATATCTGTAGATACAGGTACAGACACAGACACAGATACTGGCGCACAGATTCAGATTCAGATTGTGGCACACACATGCATTTTCATTTTCTGACACATAATTCCAGATTCGAGGCACAAGAAGCAGAACAGAAGGCCCAGAAAAACAAGCGGGCTTAATTGCAGTATTTGTTCTAAGTTAATTAGAAAAGCAGGAAAGTGCCGCGGGAAAAAAGGTTGGCATGTGTGTAACTGCAGCATTTAACACTGTCAAGAGTTCAGATCCCTGATTTCCCTCAGCCTCTCTTTTCGGCCCGGTTTTCTGGACTTTTTGTTAGTTTCCATGTCATTAACACACTTAGCCACACTCGCCGCATTCGGTTGGCCCACAGAGCTGTTGAAAATATAATATTAATCGTAAGTTATTGGCCCCAGCTGCTGCCAGTTGATTTGGTTCACATATAATATGTTAGGCTTTGTCCGTCGTAACTAAATATTGGCCAGAGGCCCAGGCCTGGAAAATGTTTCTTTGGCCCGGCCAACTGGCCTGCTAATTATGACAAGTGTACGGCAGATATAAATAGCCGAACAATTAGGGCTGGTTCTTATCTAAAAGGGAAACTGGATTTCGTCGAATCACAGGCGAGACAAAAAATATGCATAAACTTGAACTGGTTTCGTTACTGATATTAAGTCAGACGGAAAGGAAATTGCACAGCCTGCAACACATTTTTTATTGGGACGACGAAAAAGTCGTATAGCAGACCCCTGGGAATTTCCCCACATTGGCTTTTATTAGCACCCAAAGTTAATGAAGGTCACAGCGCCGCAAAGTGGATAAACGAGACCAAAAACTGTTTGTAAATCCAAGACAAGCCGATTAAGATAGCACTGAAAATAGCTTGGGGTTTTTGCCCAATACCCGTAAAAACAAAATTAAATGCACACCGAGCTCGACTTTCTCTATGGCTTGAGGGTGTAGAGTGTGGAGTTAACCCATTGACATGAAATCGTTTGACATCATTAAGTCAGCCATAAATTGGCCGGCAAAAGTGTGAAATGTGGCAAGGTAATTCCGCCAATTGGGAACATCTGAGTCTGGGTTCGGGCTCTGGGTCAGGCCAATTATGATGGCTGACCATGGGCAGAAGTTGTGACATATTAACTGAGTTATCTACGAACATATGGTTAAATTTGGTTGCACTCTAAGCACATGAATATATACAAATATATTTATTATTATTTTATTTTGTTTTGTTTACTTCTTATTTTTGTCATGTCATGCATACATATATCATCAAACCCACCGACAAACAACACGACATTCATCCACAACATCAACATCGAAAACTATCGCCATCATCATCATCAATGCAACGAAAACATATACAAATCCTCCTTATCGCTCTCCTCCTCCACCGTCGCCCTGATGACGATCATCCTCAAACATTGTCAAACATAATCGAAAAATTCTCGACACGATCACAACGCACACTCTTGCATATGTCATTTCATAATCCATTCATGTTGTTTCTGTAATTTTTTCATTACTATTACGTTCATCAATCATTCGGAACCTTTTTCATTATTGGTTGACTCTTTTGGTTTTGTTTCCGGTATTTTTACCTTTCCGAAACTTAATTGAATTTACATTTATTGTCAAAAACCAATAATTACTGTACATATATGTTTATCCTATACTGATTATTACCAATACGCGTGTGTGGGTCACGACTGGTTTTGTTAATGGTTTGGTAACTTTACACACGGCTCTGGGACTTCCAACCACACACGCACCCACTCCCTCTCAACCGCACCACCGTGCCGTACCACCGCACCAACAATCCCTGCAACCCGCCGACAGATCGGGTTGCCCTGGTCACCGCAGCACCGCCGAGCTATACGCGTATGTATCACTATTTTCCAGCACACCTGAGTCCGCACCCGTTCTGCTATTATCCTCCCGCACCACCGCCACCACTGCCACCGCAACCACCGCCACCACAGCAAGCCGCACCGCCCACGCTCACGCCGTTGACCCTCAAACAGTTGGGCAACTCGCTAACCTCCATGACACAAGCGGCGCAATTGGCCAAAACGTTGCGCTATGCGCCAGGTAATATTCCCCGATTGCTAACGATCCCCTAGGGATATCCACTGGTGTTTGACTGCAGGGGATGCTTCCACAGAGGAGTACAATTATTATGCAATCTGTTGGATACCAAATTTACCTTTACCTGTAGCGGCAATTCGTTTACTGTTTAAAGCAGTTTCAAAGGTTAAGTCAATAGTATGCATTACAAACCATTAGCTTTCTTAGCATAATACTATTATATTTTCATAATAATCAATATTTAGTTTTCAACTTTTTAAATGGTTCTCTTTTTGTATTGTAATGCATTATTAATTTAATAATTTAATTGATTAATTTAATTGATTAGCCATATTTTTTTGCAGTGCTTTGTTAGAAGTGAAAATCTTTGATAGCAGCTAATATAAAATAATGAAACCATTTTTATTATATTTCTCCCCGAATTTATTAAAGACTTGCCTGGGAATCATTAGATTTCATAATATTTAATACCTTTACGTGTGGCTGTTCATCCCTGCAAGAAAACATAATTAGCAAAACTGCTAGGAATGGGACCATCTACGCAGCGAACACCCTACTAAATCATCTAGTAACCCTAATAAAATGATGAAAATGTTTTTTCTAGGCATGTTTATACGGCCAGACGAAACGAATCTCTACACGACGCTGGAGCCTACGTTGAGCAGCAATCCGAATGTGTACTTCCAGCGCAGCGGGGCCGTCCATCCGGGCATCCTGTACTGAGGAGCCGACGGAGGGTGGAGTACCGAGCATCGAGAACACTGGAACTGAGTATTTTTTCATAACTTTAAGTACGGCTCCCAAGGAGCAGCAATAAGCGAATTGATATTCCCCGATCACTTCGAATAGTGTAATATTTTTGTCATAATTGCTAAGCTCGTTGCATCTAAGTTTTGCGATACGAAGAATACACATATCGACCTAGCGAATTAAGGATAAGACTCGACCTGGAAGCAGGAATTTTGATATATTCCCTGGGGTCGCTAGCGGAGGAGTTCCCACAAGGATGCAATATGCTAGTTAGCGATATCAACCAACTACACTGGTTACATCTTACACTCTCGCCGTAGTAACGATTTTATCGAATAAGTCCTCAAAAGCAGTGGCTGGCCTTGATTCCTAAATAATGTAAACGAGTTTCTAACATCGTTAAAGGTTTAAGTAAGATTACTTTTGGCTTGTGATTTAAAAGTAACTTGTACTTAACAAATTTTCATAACATTCGAACAGCTCTGCTTTTGAGATAGCTTAAGATCGCTGGGGTAAATCATATGTATAAGATGGGCTGGCAAACAAAGTTGGATTTGCAAAAGAGAATTGAAATTAATTGTATAAAAAGTGCTGGAAAGCAGAGAACGGAGTTTGAATCCACCTGATGTTCAGCAATGTTTGTCGGCCATATGTATACAGATGTTCTGGCCCGGCTAGCACACACATCTACCAGTAAGTAATAGGCTTAATAAACATTTGTCTAGCCAAGTAAAACGATCGCTTAAGCAAACACGAAATGTTGTACATATAGCAATGGCCCCGAGCCACACAAACACACACACCAACCACTCACACACACACAAACACACACACGGTGAGCCAGCCAATCTCAATAAAAGAAAAACAAAACCGAGGAATAACCACTCTCAATTGCCACACAGGAACATCAGCAATGACGATTACAATTAAGTATAATTGCAAATTATTGGCATCGCAATCCCTATTAACGCCTGCTTGGCGCACAGAGGGGGAGAGGAGGAGGATGGTTGTATTAGGCTTGGAAGCCAAGGGCGGGGAGGATTATTGGATACCAACGCGGCGCTACATGTTTCAAATAATTTGTTAACGCCTTTCAGATGACGATTTGATTGGGTGCGGCTAGGCCGGAACGGCTGTTTGGAATAGATAAACGTTCGACCATTATCGCCAAGTTCTAAGTGCTCCTCCATGGAGCAATTCCCATTGCAAGACACGACGACGCCTCTGACGACTTGACCCCATATATGGCGTGGTATTGGTCCAGTCCTACTGGGCTGCTGGGACTACTGACCACATCCAGTGCATGCCGAGGGCGTGTTCGCCAAGAGGATGCGAGGTGGAAGGAGTCTCCTCATCCTCACATTAATTAAGTGCAACAATGCGGTGCGGATAGAGTGGCAAAGGGCGGCGCAGAGGCTGAGAGGATGGCCCGGCAACATTCACATCCACATCTCCAGGCAGTCACATCGTTCGTATTAATGACATTTCTCACGAACATTTTACCAGAGCAGTCAACACAAGGAGCTCTTGTCTAGCCAAGGGCACTGAGATAAATGCCTTGGCCATTATATTTCGCTCCAAAAGCATGACCGTAAAATGTTCTTTTAGCCAAATTCACTAATAAGCTGGAAAACCTATACTAAAGCTGTGGCAAAATACAAAAAAAATATAATCGTTCATAAGTGATCCAGTTTTGATGGTTTTGAGGGAGAAAAAAGAACAAAAAAGTATTTGCTATGAAAGAAAACTTCATTTAGTGTAGAATCCAAAAAATATTTTAAATTTGAGGTTAATATGATTTTTATGTGAAAAAGCTTACTGAAAAGATAGCCACTGACGGTACGACAGATCTAAGTATAATCACTATAAATTGTGGGTTAAAGTTCGTTGAAAAAAAAGTAACTTTTGTTTAGGTTCCTTTTTGACAAAAACAAGAGTATCGTGATTTTAAGGAATTGCTGACGTTTAGGTACAAATTTTCCCAATGAATCTGTAATAGTTTTTGACAAAACTCTATTCTTTTGTACAGTGCAACCCGCCGTCCGATGTCCAGTGGGTCCAGTCCCAGAATCTGTTTCTCTCTTTTCCAGCCGCCTGGCTTCAATTAGGCGCGCCTTCAAATCACAAGTCAATCAAAGTTGTTAGATTCGCCGTCCCCGTCGTCATCGTCATCGTCATAGTCGGGGAGTCATAGTCGTGGTCTTCTGGACTCGGACATCGTGGTCCCGTCGCTATCACTGGCGGGTTGACATCTACTGACATGGCACACAATGTTGCAGAAGCTAGAAACCGGGAATCTGGAACCCAGAACCAAGAGCCTGGAACCTGGAGCCTGGAGGCGGCAGCATCAATTACAACATCCATGACAGACACAGCGTGAAATGTTTGTACATTTCTTGGCGGCGCTTCCGAGGGGACCAATTAGCCCTAAGTAGGCATTTCAAATGGACTCCTGCAATTAGCCAAAATCGAAGCCAACAATTTCATCACTGGTCCAGCTATCGCCCTTTGCCCATCGCCCAGCTCCATCCTCATGCTCAGGTCCAGGGCCATCATCATCGACATCGCCACTATCATTATCATTATCGATCGTTATCGATATGTCCATCGTTGCAATTTATTTGATCAATCCATTGTCGATGCCCGCTACCTGCACCTACATTCCTCCACTCCAGTCCAGCATTTCCTATTACCATTTCCATCCCTTGCTCCCAGGGGCGTTCCTCCTGACGTGCTAATGGCGATTTGGTAACGCTTTATGGCATAATGGGTATTAGCCAGCCAACACGATCGCCATCTAATGCGGCTGCGGGCGGCGTAAAAAATCTTCTGGAGATGGACTCACCACAATGCATTGAGATCCAGGTGATGTAGTCTTCAAAGGGGTAAACAACTTTTTATAAATAATCTGTGAAATTAGATTTGGAGTGTTTGGAGTACATAAAATGTAAATTTCATTAATTAAATGTCTGCTCAAAGAATAGCCCCATATAATTTACGTTTCCTAAGACAATTAACTACAAAAACAAATTTCCGCTTTTATTAAGTAAAACCACGTATTAAGTTTTAACGGCAAATCTAACTTAGACAGTCAGTATTTATATCTTCGATCCTAATAACTTCCCAAAATTTAAAATTTATCTTAGAATTTCCCTCGCTTACAAAGTTTCCCAGAAAATTATAGCAATAGAGACCAGTAATTTGTTTGGGCCAAGTTGGCCGACTGCCAGCGTTCACTGTCTCATCTCCAAAGTCTGGCCGACTGAGGATCTCCATCTCTCTCTGTATCTGCATCTGTGGCTCCATCTGCGACTCCATCTGGGCACCGTCTGCGCAACCGTCTAGTCTCGATTTTTGGCCATAATAATTCGCGTTGTTCGTTTGTTGGGGGCATGTGGCGAGTGTACGAGTAAATTAAATTACTCGCCCGGGCGCGCCATTAACCGTAACATTATCCTTGAATGAATGGGGGCTGGGCGGCGGTTGGCATTACAGCTATTATTGTGGTGCAAATGTTATGACCGCTTTATAGAGAGAGTGCAGACCGAGGGCCCCAAGGGCAGCATCACGTTGCTGATTTGATGGGCTTTTTTTCCAGAAGACAGAAAGGGGGAGTTGGGAGCTGGGAGCTAAAGTGCCGGGGCTCAGCGATCGCCGGCCGATAAGCTGACGGAGGGGAACTGGTAACTGGTAATGCGTGCATTGACCGCTCGGATCTGGGATCTCCGATCTTGGGCCCTGGAGCGCTGGCGTTGACGTAAGTTGAAATTAAATTTGCGCGGCGGCCCAGAGACGAACGATGCCTTCGCAGTACAGTTAACCTCGTTTAAGTGCGCCACGCACTGCCAAACTCCGACGCCCCTAAAAGGGGAGGGGCGGGACGGATCCAATTAACAGTACCCGACTCCAACCACGTTCCGAAGGAAGTGGATCCCCAGACCGAGCCACCGATCCCGAGCCCAGAGACTCATTTTTGTCGCATGCTCCTGCTTAAAGCATAAGTATAACTCTGCCAACTGGTTCTGGGTTTGCTGCCAACACCTTTTCCGAGAGAGTGTTGGCGGAATCTTAAAGCCAAAAATGGCCACAATCTTTTTATGAATAGAAAGCCGAATACAAAATATGTTAAGTAAATTTAATGACTTTCAGTAAAAAAAATAAAAAAGGTAAGTGCTTTCCTTGATTAGGTCATATTCATCTTATCATCGTCATATCATCATATTAAAGAAAATAAAAAGTTGTAATTCTTTTAAGTGACAGCTAGCAAGCTAAGAATATCTTAATTTTATAAATGAAAAACCAGTAAGAAAGTTAATTCTTAATTAAATATAACAAAATATCTTTAAGATATATTTTAGGGAACCGAAAGTTTGAGTCACTCGATTTGTAAATTTATTTAAATTATATCGGTTTTTTTTGAGTTCCATTATATATTTAAAAATGTCTAGAACGACAGCACTGCTCCGAGATCGAAGCTTAGAGAACCGGCAAGAGGCAGTGGCAGCCCCAACCCGGCATACGAGTTTATAGCGGATGCGTAAACGTAAACGCATTTGGCTCAAATGCCGTTAGGGCCTTTGACTAAATTGCATGGCCACATGGGCCCCTTGGGCTGCAGATTCAGCCTCGACTTGGTCGTGGACCTCGGCTGTAGCATCTTGCCATGCGCTAGTTGCTATTTGCATGTTGTCTAGTGAGACGCCAGGCCGGGCAAGACAAGACTCTCCCATTGACATTTTGTCTCATTCCTGTTCCTGTGGCTCTAGCTCTACCGTTGACTCTTGAAAGTCTCGAGCCTTGAAATCCCCTGCCCTGCAATCGAGAAATGTTAATGCATTACATAGTTATCGATCGAAAGCCGCCCAGCTAGCAGCCTCATATTGAGCAGCTGGCATCCCATTTGACGTAATCAAAACAACAGAATGTGGGCAACCCAAAAATGTTTTGGGTCATTGATTTCGGTCGCTATCCGCGGATCTTAACGGTTCTTTCCACTATTTCGTAATGGGCCAAGATCAATGTACCAATCTGGAGGCCATGATGCTGCGTCTCGAGTTGAGCGCTCGTTCGAGTGTCTTCCCTTTTATGTGTATTACACGCAACTGAGCCTCCATTGATTAAATAACCATGGTCCAAATAATGGGAATAAGAGACGAACCAAAAGAGATTTAATTAGTGATTGGAATACCGAAGTGGGGATACTCTATAAGAAATATTTCATTAAAATGAATCCAGTTTTATTTAAAATATTTATACATTTTTCAAAAGTCTAACATTAAGGCTGTCTTTTGTTATATAATATATATGCAAATCTTGCTTACATAAATAAGACTACAAAGACACACCGAAAACCCTTAAAAAATCACCATGCCACGTTAAGCAAAAAGCACTACGAGAATTTCCAGATCGCACCAAGTACAAACTTCTTAATTATTTTTTATGATCTTCCATGAACTGACTACCGTCTCGAGTCCCTCCAACGAAAAGCCATTTCGACTGCCTTTTATGGCTGGCCTTTAAATGCTTCAGAAATGTTTGAATTCAATTGAAATGAATTGGGTCAAAGTGTTCCAGCTGCGTTAGAAGATTGTCTGAAATGTGCCCACGTAGCTCAGCATTGCTGGTTCATTGAGATGTTTCATCATCCCAAAACCTGTGTTTATAAAACCCGAGGGAGGAGCGGGAGATGTAAATCACTGAATATAATTGTGATTTATGCTCAAAGAAAGGCCAGCAGCCACTTCGGGCACTTGGGAGCTTGTTAGGAGTGATAATAACATTCTTATGAATAATGTATTTAAATTGAAAATGGAAATGGAGAGGGAAACTGAGTAATTTATAATTAAAATTGCCCTTGATAAGGACAGGGAAAATGATTAAAAAGGTTTCTGTTCGCAGTACAACATCATTCCAGGGAAGCCCATCTCTTTTGGTTGAAGAAATGGGTTAAGTCGCCATAAATGTTTTAGCATATAGCCAATTTCCTAATGACCGCGATCGTTCCCTTCCATCACGATCTCGTCCGTAGTATCGCCAAATCATCTCACAGGGATCTTCATGGCGATATCATTGTATGCAAAATTCTAAAAGGGAAAATAAAGCCCACAAAGTCGTGCGCTAAATATAAAATTTAATATGAAACTTACACATGTTCTGCAGATGCTCCAAATGGCCTGACTGGGTCTTTCCCATTTACCATTTGATGGTTCCCTGGGATCGGTTCTAGTCCGTCTCGAGTTGGGTAAAAGCTCTCACGCGGCTTAGACGTGGGGGGTTCCAGGCGATCGAGGGATTCGGGGTCATTTGCTGATTTTTTACGACTATTTCTATCTTAAAGATACAAGTTTATTTATGGCCGGGCTGTAAAGTGCGGCGAGTGTATAAAATGCAGAGAATGACATTGCAACACCCAGTAAGCAGGATCCGATCCGCATCCGAATCTTAAACCAAATCAGAATGAAAATGGCCCCTCCGGTGGGAGTGCAATGGGATGGGATGGAATAGAATGGGCTGCGATTCCAGGGGAGTAGGGTTGGGTATGAGAACCACTGGCAGGGCACTAAACATGCCGCTCGAATGTGGGTAAGTTGACTCGACTTTAATGTGCCTGGCCAGCTAAATGCAAACGCACCGAGGCCCTGAGATCGAGAGCCACTGTGGGGGCCACCAACCATCACGGCTGAATGCTAAAAGGGTTCGAGCCACCTCGTTTCGCTCCCCGCTCCGCACACCACACCCCACACTCCTTACTCCCATTTTTTCCGCTGATGCGCCTCATTAGGAGTGGCTGGAAACCAGTTCCTGGCTAGGGAGAAGGAGCAGCAGCAGGAGCAGGAGCTGCAGCCGTAGGACCCCAGACAATTGACAATTTAAACGAATTTCTTTCAAACACAGCACTGACATGGCCCGGCACAAATGACGAATAGTGGCGGATGCCCAAGCCAAAGTTTACGCATGAAATATGCACCACCAGGAGGCGGACTCGGCATCCTTGCCCTTCTGGCCTCCGACGCTGGTAGTTTGTGGCCAGTTGCAACTTGCAGCTCCAGGGACGCTTGTATGAAGTGTCATTCATCTGGCCATAAACGCATTATTCAATACGCGAAGTTCACTGAGAGAAAACTTGGAAAAGTCAGGTGAATAAATTACATTTATTTATTTAGTTACCAACAAAATACGTTCCATTTTTTTCTATTGATTCGACACCTTAATTCATTATAAAAAACCTTAAATCAAAGATTATACTCCCAACTTCGCTTTAAGTTTGTAGATTCATTATCTACATAATCATTACTCGAAGATTAAGAGGGTATAATTTATCCATTGAAAAGTATCTAAAAGCTGAATGAAACGAATTTCCTTAAGAACGTCAAGATCACGAAATAGAGGGTCAAGATAAAATCGCATATGGAGCCCAAAGGAAATAACTAATGACGTTTTTTTGATTCATAAACGAGTATTTTACACTATCTTAACATAAATCAGGGCATGTTTTAATTTATAAATAATTAAATTTACATTAAACAGGTTCCTTCCAGTTGATTGATATCTGTTGTTATCAGTCTCTTAAAAGGTTTAGATTCTAAACTTTAAACTAAATTGATTAGAGAAAACCCTCAACCCAAGTTCCATTGAAACTCACATTTTAAGCCCATTTTGTAATTTAGTGCTGTTTTATTATGTTATGTTATTTTTTAGGACCATCATAGGTGTAATAAGCACTTTAGAGGATATTTGTTTCAGTGTAGCAGCACATAAGCGGGGGGCCGCAGCTAGACAAACGAGTGATCGGCAGACGGACAACAACAGCGGCAGCAGTGGTATCAACAGCAACAATAACAACAACAACAACAAGAACTACAGCATCTACAGCAACAACGACCGCGACGGCTGACTAAATGCCTCATACTGTGCGGGGTCCGCGGTTCAGGCTCCTTGACTATCTGTCCGCCGGCCCATCCGTCCGCTCGGTTTTCAAGGTTAACAAGTTGCATTTGCAATTTGGCACTAGGACTGGCTCTCGAGATTTGAGACCCTGACAGAGGAAGAAGAAGGATCGTATCCCCAGACAAACCGACCATCGGACAGAACTCGACATCGTCGCTCTGCCCCTGCGACGGCATCAATCGCTTTGGTGAGAATTAAATGGTGGTGCCTTTTGTTTGGCCAGAATCCCCTCTTCCCTGCAACTTCTCCCTCTTTAATGAGCGACCTGCTCAATACACAGAATCAAAATCAAAGAGCCACAGAAAAGTACAACAAAAAGCACTCTCATCGAATCAAATGATACCCTTGGACGGACGCATCGATGTCCCAACTTTGTGGGGCCATGAAGACGATCTCAAGGGCTGGATGAGGTAAAAACATTGTATCTGGATGAGGTAAAAACATTGTATTTAAAAATGTAGCTCCAATAAAGAACAATATCGGCTGATCTCCTGAACAAATCCCTATAATCCTAGCCTTCTATTTCAATGCACAACTTGTTATAAATTTTTTTTTTGCGGGAATATTTTAAATTATTTCTTTCAGTTAGGCAATTGTCTAAATGACATGTACTTAACATAAGATGTTTTAAAAGTTATACAAATAATATTTTATATTTCAAAAGTCTAAAAAACCAATTATAAACAAACTTACGTCATTCTTTCTTCCTTGAATTGCACCTGAGCAACATTCGTTTCCGTCAATGCGAGAAACCAAAGGAACCTTCTTTATGCCACGGGCTGCGGACTCAAAAAGCATCGATTGCTTCGAAGAGCATTGCAGTGAGGAGTCGGCAATAATACGACGCTGATCTATTATTCGCTAGATTGTAAAAATGTAAAAATCACGCTTTCGTGTTGTGTATAAATTGAATGCAATTTATAAATGTCCAGAGTAGAATTAAATCCCCAGCCGTCGGCACAGGCCACGATCGGGTGATGGTGATTTTTCAAAATAAACAACCTTGAGCCGAGGGCTCCGCAGTACCGCAGCTTCATAGCTCAAGAGATCTAGAGTCGAGAACAATTGCGAGGGCCCAGGGCAACAATAGACGGCTGCAGCAAGAGCCCAAAAGGATCCGCCAGATCGGATCCCTTGGAGCCACAGATGAAAAATTGTGCCAATTGAATTTGACCAGCGATTGTGGTCGATTGCTCCTCAACGCGAGTTGTCTGCGGGAGGTACTCTCCGAGGACCAGGGAGCCTGGCGTGGGGAGGTAGTAATATAATGGGCGGTCGCTTAGTTTTCAACGCATTTATCAATACCCAAGTGGTTCGACCGTCCTCCAGCGAACTCCTCCGGATCCCATTCCAGGCGTTGACAATGCCAAGGGCGGTGTCGGGTGCCGTCGTTTAATATATTCGGGCAGAGAAGAAAAAAACTGCCGCCGTCTCTGATTGAAGATGAAGCCACAGAATCGATTTGCCACAGCTTACATCATTCATGAAAAAAGCTCTATGGGAAATTCTTCTGTTTAAAATACGATTTCCCAAATAGTTGAACTGAGAAACTATTTTCTTTAAAAATTTTCTTTAAATCTATCGAAAAATATGTTATAATTGACCAGCAGTTATCTTAGCTCAAACCTTTTTAAGTGCTACGAATGTTAGCTTATTTCTAGTCACTAATTAAGCACAGCCGTGAAACGGATTCCACATTAAGAAAATCCAATAAATAGGCCATCCTATTTAACACCAGTCAGTCTTAGAGGAAAACTCTATCAGCAAGGACCAGCTATGAACGCGCTTATCATATCAACTATGATCTTGATGTCTAGTCTACCTTTTCCTGCAGACTCTAAGGACGACGCATTTAGTCACTTAAATGAGGACATGAATATGGCAGTGGTAAAAAAAACTAAGGGTAAATATGGGTCTAGTCTGCAAAATTTTCGTTTTAAAAATTTGTATTTTTAGATGGCTGGCAGTGTGCCGGGGTGACCTGTCCTAAAAAGTTCACAGCGTCTTGTAAGGTGACTAAGGTTTTGAAGCCAACTGAGCTGGTGAACACCGACCTTCTTATCATTTGCCTGGATAAAAACAATAAGGCAAAGTGTGGTATTACCCGAACACGCAAAGGCGAAATTCAGGAAGTTTTAGACATGGACGAAGACGGAAATTCGGTATATAGTAAAAAAGAAGTTTATACGCAAAGTGACGGTACCAGGATTCCCAGGTGTCCAAGAAGATAAGTCTTGTGCATTTATCTCAATTTAACACAAATATATTTTATTCTACACATGGTAGCTGACTTAAATATGTTATCGACTACAAAGATAAATATGCATATTTTGTGACAACCAAAAATGGTTTTTGTATTCTATATGTTAGAAAAAGTAGTTGTATAGCATGGCGTAAAGTATTCTTAAAGAACTTTGGGAAATTAAATTAATAACGAGATTGATTTACATACAAATAAAGGTAACAAAAGTGGAAAACAACAAAATAAATATTTTTCTAAATTAAGCTAAATAGAATCTGGTAAGACTTTAGGACCGTAAGACTAGGTTAAATACAAATAAATTATAATTGCACCTTCTATAAACAAAAGAAATAAAGACAAAGAATTAAGTACTTCATGAAAAATTTGTGAAAGTTAGAAAATTATTGTATAAGTCTGCTCTAAGAGTGCTCTGCCACCGCTCGCAGTTCCTCCATTAAGGAGGGCATGACCTCTATTCTCCTCTGATCCCGACTAGCACTGAGCAGCCTACTCAGTTCCTCCATATCTGACTGACAGGCGGTAACATCCTCGCTTAATTGGCACAAATTCGGTTGGCATCGCTGACTCCGCTCAATCAGCTCCAAGATGAAGCTGTTGCGTGGGCGGCATGTCTCATTGGCGGTTTGTTGGACGAGCTGTGGCAAGGGAAATCATTTTGATTATTGTCAAGAAGAACTAATATAAGCGGAGCAGAATTACCTTTTTGTAGTCATCGATCAGATTAGCCACCTCATGGGCGGGCTCTTGAGGCGTGTTGCTGGCAGTCGATTTTCCCGAATCGGATGCCTCAAAGCGGGCTCGCTCCGCTGTTAAGGTTCGCTCCAGATACTGTGGAAAACAGATGTATTTACTTTGTATTTTTGTCTTGTATTTTCTTATTTTTGAGGGCACTTGTCGAGTATTAGCCACACAAATTTTAAGTAAAATTGCGATTATTGGACACCTTTATCCTTACCTTTATTTTGGACAGAGCTTTTTCATGTCTTCCGTTAATATCCGCCAGTTTCATTTTGAGCCCCGGCAACTCTTCAGCCTTTCGGTTGTTCACTCTCCCATTCCGCAGTTCCTTTCGCAAAAGTTTGGACAACTGTGGCCAGCTTTTTATGTGTGGAAGCCTCCTCCCCGTTTCCATTTCGAGAACTTGACCGAGAGATCGCAAGCAGTCCACAGCCTTGCGTTCTTCTCGCGTACTTTCCTCTCGCTCTTCGAGCAAGGATTTAACCTGGCTTTGTAGCCTTTGTAAGTTTATCGAATCAGCGGAATGTATCTCCAGATTCTCTTGGAATGTTTCTTTTAGCAGCTGTAACTCCAGTCGATTCTCCTCATCCTTGGCCAAACTCATTTTCTGAAGCTTCTGCAATTCATCATTTTGGCCAGCAAACAGTTCATTTAGTTTTTCCAATTCAATGGTCTTATGCTGAAGCTCCACTCGCATTTCCTGCTCCAAGTGTTGAGTGGCTTGCAAGGCATCTAACAGTTGTAGCCAGTCTGCTTCCATTTCGTTTGTGCTCTTTATTTTGGCATCTTGCTGCTGAAGCAATTTTTGGAGCAGAGAAACGGTTTGCTTTCTTTGATTCTTGACGTCAGCTAATTGCAATTCCAAAGTCTCTATGCGTTGGACTAGAATCGGATCCTCCTGGTCCGTTTGAGTCGCTTGGCACTGTATAGTCTTTCGTCGTGTCGATATTTCAATTGTTCTTAGCTGCTCTTTAAAGATCTCTTCATTCTTGCTTTGAGCTTCTATTCGAGACTCCGCTTCGACTAACGCTTTTCTAAGACTATCACATTGGCCTGCATAATTTTTGAGTTTCTCCATTAACTCACTTTCCTTAAGAGAGCTTTGCTGTTTTAATTTTATGATCTCGATTTTTTCAATTTCTAATTGCAGCTTGGTCTCTTCACACTTGGAACAAATCTCGGCGTACTGTCCGTGAAGAGTGTGGACCTTCTGCTCTAATTTTCTAAGAGTACTTTGCGCCTCTTTCAAATTTTCCTTTAGATCTCCCTTTTCAGTTTGCAAGGAAGCCAAAGAAAGGGTTAAATTCTCCACCTGCTCCAATTTGAGAGCATCGCTTTGGCGAAGTTGTTCCTCCTCCAAACGTTGTGTCTGTAATGTAAACTCCAATTGCTCCAGCTGGCGCTGCTGCTCCTCGCTTTGTTCCTTCAACTGAGACATCATCATCAACTCCAACTGAAGCTCATTAAGGGAATTTTTTAAGCTTGCAATTTCACTTGTCTTGCTGTTAATCTCTTCGTGAAATTTCAGGCTATAAGAATGCATAATTTCCATGCTGCTTTCCCGAGTCAACTTTTCTTGGTAGTAATGTTTTAGATCGAGAAACTCCTGTTCTTTTATCGCTAAAAGTTGTTCCTGGGTCTGTAGAGTCTCATTTAGCTCTGCTATGACTTGGCGAAGCTGCTCACGCTCGGCGGTGACACTGCGCAAGGCAGTGCTTCTCAGCTCCAACTGGTGCTCCATTTGGCTCTTCACGTCGAGTAATTGCTTGCATTTTCCGGTCATGTGCTTGCTCTCCAGCTCCATGCCTGCCAAAGTTTGCTGCAACTGCGAAAGCTTGTCGTCGTGTTCCAGGCTAAGTCTCTGAATGTCGTCCAGAAGCATCTTCTTTTGTTTGCGAAGCACTTCTATCAACTGACGTTGGTCTCGGAGACGAGCCTCCTGCTGTTTGGCCTCAAAGGATGAATCGGGAAATTCTGAATCTGCACTAAATGAAGATGCGCTATGGGATTTTGGGGATCCTTGCTCCTGCTGCTTCTCTAGTGCGGCGCACTTTGCTTTCAAGCGCATTGATTCCTGCTGAAGCGTTTGGTTCTCCATAAGATATTTCCGCTCCTGGGCATACAATCGTTCCAGAGTCTCAAGTCTGCTATGCTTTTGTGACTTAAGCTCCTGCTTGTACCACTGTTCAGATTTTAAGAGTCTCTCCACCTCGCTGCGAGACCGAAGGAGTTCCTGCCGCACCAGAAACATCGATTGCTCACGTTCAGACTCTGGTTTCTGGACGTGATCACCTCGTCCATCGTCGCTAATGCAGCTAAAATGGCCGGAGTCATCTGCCAACGCTGCAGCGCCTTCGCATTCCGAGTCCATTGCAGAGCTGCAAAAAGATTTTCATGTTGGGAGGGTGAGTTCATGGCCAAAAAAACAAGTTTTGTGGGCGTATGCAAATCGGGATAAACGACTTTAGTTTATTACTAAAACGTACCAATTTTTTTGCAAGCCTCCTTTCTGATGCTTTCTTTTGGTGTTACTTCAAAGTAACTCTAACTAATTAACAAGAAACTACATTTTAATCGAAATAAACAAAACCAGTAAAAAACTTTTTAGCCAAACAGCTGATGGCAAGAATAGTATGCCCTTATTCAATGTAAGAAATAATCTACGCAGCAGGAAAGATATACCAAGACTTCATTTTAAATAACTGCATAGTGGCGAAAGCCACTCAATGGAAATAAAAATAGTTATTTAAACATTGTATCCGAACTGATCTTATTTAAAGCGATAATACTATAACGTTATCTAAACATTTCAAATTCACTTTGTATAAATTTCATAGAGAAGTTTGGAATCTAAATTAGAATTGGTAAAGTTTTTAGTTAACTCCCCACAATCTTAAATTTTGGAAATCTAAAATATAATTTCTAGAAGTGGTGTATGATCAACGTTAAATTACTCATTAAATAAGTTACAATTTATTCCTTTGCTCTAATTTTAGAAGTGTGGGAAAAAATATTTTTGATTATTCATAGCATAGACATACAAATAGAGGCAACAATTTTGATTTACATAACAAAATAATGCGGTATTTAATTGTACACCTTATAAATATTGTCTAACAGCTTTGATGGACAACACTAAATATTTTACTAGATTACCATGTAGAATTCACACCCTTTACTACGATATTCTGATTGGATTTCGCAAGCACTGGTCACACTTAGTCCATTAAACCATCACAAAAACATGAATTCTTATTAGCTAGTAAAAACAAGTGAAGACAGAAATTTTCCTACCGTGACACCCATAATAGCGTTTCAATTCGCGGCTTAAAATGTTCGAAAGTGACAACATGGTTTAGCGGAGATCGGAGCACATGCAGCATGTAAGCACAACTTGAAGGCGTTCCGTGAAATTGCGTCGTGTTACAAAACTTTGGCCCTGGTCAAATCCGCTAATACAACTCGTGTATCATGGCCAGTGCAGCTGATGACTCGTCATCTGGTGGTCAGGAGGACCGAGAGTCCTTCACCGTTTACTACGAAGGCAAGACGCTGCAGCTTCACTGGCGCGGATTGCCTCCCTTGCGACGCGCTCCCGCATCAAGGATCTGCAGCATTGGCGAGGGCCTGCTCATCCTGACCACCGACCACGCCCTTTACTCCGCCCAACTGCAGTCCAACCGAGGCCACCTGGACCTTCAACTCCTGCGGACTGATGTGGTAGACATGGACTTCTGTTTCGGCAGTCAGGAACTCTTCGTGGTTCTGACCAACGGTTCTGTGGAGCGCCAGGCTACGGGATCTAGTAGTGATGTGGGTCACCCCCACGCCTGGCAAACACTGGCCTTCGATCCTCTGGAACTGCTCGCTGAAGGCGTTCACATCCAGCGCGTTTGCTGTTCTGCACAGGGTGTAGTCTTCGTTGGTGCTGGCGGAGAAACCTATGTTATGGGCAGCTGCGGAGAAGTCTTTAATGCCGAGAAACAGCCTCGCCACATGCGCTTATACGAGGAGGGCAAAGAACTCCTCGACTTATCAGCCGGAAACGAACACTTTGTGATGCTGGTTGCTCCTTACAACCTGGCAGATGATGTGCTCCAGCTGCGGTTGGCCAGTGCGAAGGAAGAACCCGAGGATGAACGAGCCTCTGTGAAATCTCTCAGCAGTAACAATTCAGACCGAAGTTTTGCGGCCAACACAAGGCATTTGCTTCACCAGGGTTACGCCTTGCTCCATACCCAACTTTTCACCTTCGGAGCCTCTAATAATGGCCTTCTCGGCATTGGCGATCACATCCGTAGGGCCAATGTGATTCGCCTTCAAAAACTAGATAGCGTTGGTGTGTGCAGCATTGCAGCCGGATTGCAACACACGGTGGCCCGCACTCTGGACGGAAGGCTGTATCACTGGGGCCTGAATAATTACTCCCAGTTAGGCGAGGATGTCAGCTCTCCAATAGAGATCACCATTACGGATAACTCTGCATCACTCCCAATGGAACAGAATTCAGCATTGGAGGCAACCTGTGGCGACTACCACACGCTACTGCTAAATGCCTCCGGACAGATACAATCCCTCCAACCACCGCCTCCTATGCGACACCTGCAGCAATCCAGCACTTATGCCCAGACCCTCCTACAGCTACAGTTGGGAGCTGCGTGGCCACGACAACTACGACTGCTCATGTCTTCCGGCGGATTTACGCTGCAAAACCAACGGCAGTTCCAGCGACAGTATCACTACTACCTAAGTCACCTGCAATCCCAATTGCAGATGCTTCTCAAACACCGCCAGGCAGTTCAAACACTAGAGATCTGGCAGCGACAATCAGCGTTGGAGGCGATCAGCGCCCTCGGTCCGCTGCTGGTCAGCTGGGAGAGAATTCTATGCCTGCTGGTGGCGACCTTGCATTCCCTTGAGGGATTCTACCGAGCAGATTTTGTGCAGCCCGCTGATCTGCTGTTCATCTGCCACTATAAGGAATACATCGACCTGTTCGACGGGTATACGAAGTCCTATTGCGATGTGTACTCGGTAAATGGTTTTGGCGAAGCAGTAGCCGCTATTGCTGGACTAAACAGCCCGCTGGCCGAGCTTAACGAGGAAAGCTACGTCACTCGATTGTTCCAGCAACCCTTTAGTATCTATCAGCTATTTGTTCAGTTTATGGAGCTGCTGGTGAGAACGCAACCGGAGTATGGAGAGCACAGGGTGGCCTGGTCAGAGTTCGCACGGCAAAGTTGCATCAGCCAGGAACTGGCCGTGAACACTAAGGATTTTTGGAGCAGCAACGACAGGAACCCCAAGATCGTTCAGTTCAGAAAACGAGATCGGAGGGTGATCCTAACCTCAGCTTTGGTACCTCTGAAACTGGTCACCTCTGGCATCAGCATATCCAGCAACAGCTTCATCCTGTTCTCCGACTTCCTTTGCCAGGTGGGCGGAAACTCGCTTTATTCCTATCCCTTAACTACTCTGTGGGTGTGGACAGAGGGCGACCTTTACCTACGCTTGACTACGCCGGAGAAGAACTTCTTGGTGTCAACGCGTTCGCAGGAGATGCGGAAGGTGTGGCTTGACCAGCTGCAGTCGAGCATAGTTGCTTCGCTGGGCAGGGCACTTGGCAGTTCGGTGCCCAGTTCTCGCTCCACTGGCTATGAGTTCAGCAGGGAACACCCGAAGTTTTCCCGCGTGAAAGCGTGTGGTACCTGGAGAAAGGGTGTGCTTCACGGAAACGGCTATCTAGAGTATCCGGACGGAAGTGTCTACTGCGGGGAGCTGCAACATGGCATCATTGAAGGTACGAGATCTTTTCTACATTTTTGAATAGTAAAACAAGCTTAAACCGTGGTAATAACTTTTTAAATGCCTATATATTTTACGAGAGTCCCGCACCCAGGTAATGTGTAAATTTTGAAGAAAAATATATTTCTCGAATGGGGTCATAAATAAATTTAGTTTTGTAGCCTATAAACATATTTACGTATATTTGTACATATATTTTCCTGTCTGTAATAATGATCAATATTTTTAATGAAAGCTATTAAATATAATCGCCCGATTCTAGTATATCTATTATATTGAAGTTAAACATGTATGTAAAACGTGGAAAACATTTTAGTGATTTATGTTATAAATTGCATATAATGCAAAGTGAAATCTTATAAGTATACGAGGTGTGTTCAAAAAGTAAGGTGACTCTTCAAATTTCGCGAATTTCAAATTTTTCGATTATCGAAACCTTTTAGAAGTTATACGAGGTGTGTTCAAAAAGTAAGGTGACTTTTCAAATTTCAAATTTTTCAAATTTTTCGATTATCTTCAGTTTTGGGAACAAGAAAAAGTCACATGGGGCCAAATCCGGTGAATATGGTGGCTGAGGCATTATTGTGGTGTTGTTTTTGGCCAAAAAATCCAAATCCTTTGATCCATATTTTTCGATAGCAAAAAATCGCCGAGCTCGCAAAACAACTTGTAACTTTACGCCTCTCACAACCAAACAAAAGAGGATGTTCCATTGAAACTTGGTACAGATGTTAGGGAAGAGTGTACCAATATAACAAAACAAAAAAATCGATAATCGAAAAATTTGAAATTCGCGAAATTTGAAGAGTCACCTTACTTTTTGAACACACCTCGTATATAATACATAAGCCTTTGAAATTAAAAGATATAGCTCCCTTGATTAATCTAAGAAGCAAACCCATTTCTATCCTCAGGCTATGGCAAGATGGTGATTCCGACATCGGGTCTGTATGTGGGGCACTTCAAGGGCGGTCGTTTCCACGGCCACGGCGTCTACGAAATCCACAGCAAGGATTCCCCCGAAAGCGAAGTGTACGAAGGAAACTTCTGCGAGGGTCTCTTTCATGGCCACGGAATGATGCGAAACAACCGATACATTTACGTGGGCGAGTACCAGGCCAACGCCCGAAGTGGATACGGCGTGATAGAAGACCTGATTAGCGGGGACAAGTACATGGGCATGTTTGCAGACAATAAGCGGTCTGGAATCGGCAGCTGCATAACCAACCGTGGGGACTATTTCGAGGGCACCTTCTCCGGGGACGATCTCATGGGCAGCGGTGTGGCTGTGTTCGAAAACGACTATTATTATGAAGGCGAACTCACGCTTCACGGCCCCAATGGAAGAGGAGAGTACTACATGCCAATTGGAGATGCCGGTGGAGTAAGTGGAGTAATATCAACGGGAGATTCCGACGACACCTGCGAGCTGATCGGCAACAAGATGTTCGGACAACTTAGCGGCAGCTGGGAGACGGTTCGTATCCAGGCCGGCGAACTGGTTTTAAATCGTCGTTTTCCAAAATACCCAAGGTAAGTCAATAAGACTAAACATTCTATTTTGATGACAGATCTAAATTCTTTACATTTTAGCTCCCTTGGACGCCAAGTGGTGGACCACAATCGAAAGTGGCGGTCGCTGTTCAACAACTTCGAATCAGACCTAGCCAATTGCACGGCCACCAGCAGCAACTCCGGTGGTGGCACCCTTAGAAGATCGTCGAGGCCGACGCTCAGCACGGCCCAAATATGGAACTGCATAGCGGTGTACATGAGCAAACAGCGAGCACGGGAAGGAGCCAAGCCCGGGAACTACTTCAACAACATCCTGCTGAGTCTACCGCTACCGCAGAAGACTTCTTCCCCACTTGCAAAAGCGCGAACCACTACAAACGCACTGAGCAAGTTACAAACAGAAGCTGCATCAGCGCTAGACTTCCTAGGATTTCCACCACGCCGCATCCACTCCCAAGAGACACTCAATAGCAAGCAAGGCGAATTACAGAGAGCAGATAGTTTGCTCTCCATGGGGCACAATTCCTCTCGTGACTTGGACACCAGCAGCCTAGTCAGTTTCCAATTAGACCAAAGCTTGCTAAACAGCACTGTTATTGGTGATGAGTCTAGCACTCTCAACGAAAGTTTTGCAAAACTAAGTCACAATAACAACAATAGCATATCGAAGCACATGAACAACAGCGATGGCTCGATTACCTCAACGACATCCACGACTAGTGCACTGCTGGAGCAGGTGCCCAGTTTTGGAATGGCCTCGGTGCTCACCGAACAGGATGTTGCCTCTATACGTGTGTACCTGGAGCAAGCTTTCAAGGATCGGCATCATCCACTGTACGCCTTAAACGAGCGCATCGCCAACTGTTTCCACTACTCATATGGCTATTGGAAGGTTAAACCCACCCCGATCCTGGCTAAGCAGGCGATGAGAGAATGGGAGTCCATATCAAGACGCATTTACCGCTTTGTACGAAAGATGTTTCCCGCTTTGCCCGAGGACTTTTGCCACATGGAGGGCAGCAGGGAGGTCATTTCGCATATTACCCTGCTTTATCCACTGGTGCTATCGGAGGGTATCTACTCCACCTTATTTGTGCTGTACGCGAATAAATACAGCCGAAAAGATGAAATGTATCGGCAGAATCTGAATATTGCCGAGAAACTCAAGGACCACGAGCTAGTTGAACTTATGGGTCATGAGAGGTAACAACCTTGAACGGAAATTAAACTAAATAGTTTCAAAGAAATTATTAATCTTACAACCAAAAAACTATTTGTTTTTCAGTTTCCTGCTTAATGTAATGCTCGACCTGAAGTTTGAAGAGTCCGTGCAGACGCTGAAGGAACTGCAGGAGAAGTTTAGTCCCCAGGACATGTTGACTGTGATACAGCGCAGCACGCAGCTGCTGACCGAGGCCTACGAGCACGCCATGGCAGGTAAGATGGCATTTGCATAGAAATTTGAAAAAATGATCAACAACCCTGACTTCCAGCCAATGCCGCCCAGCTCAATGCGGATAATATGATACCGCTCACCATGCTGACGATGCTGCGCGCTGCGGTTCCCCACTTAGGGGCTGAGTTGGCCTTGCTGGACGATCTGACGGGTGGCCCAAATTTCCAGGCCGAGATGAATGGAATGGCGGGTTATTGCTACACCACACTAAAGGCCGCATATGAACACGTCACTCTAAGGGCACTGCAAAAAAATCCCTGAGCAGACGCAGCCCAAACATAGAAGCTGTAAAGTTAATTGTTTTCTTGTTATATATCGACCTGCCGGCTCAATAATCGCTTATGCCAGAACACATAGGCGTTTAAGCAAAATTATTAGTTAAAAGGTAACTTCTTTGTTGACATTGTAAGGCTTAGGTGTTTTGAAACCAAACTATTGGTTTCCCGTATTAGTCTGTATATACCCTTAACGACAAAACCCCTCATAGAATTAAGGGTATCGATTCTGTACAGAAGCCATTTGATCATTGTAGGAAATGTGTATCTATATTTATGTATGTATCTGTTTTGTATATTTTAAGCCAACACAATAACATTCCGATTACTCACCAAACCAAATAAATAATCTACACACATAGTATGTATATGAAATCTAATTGGTCTCCGAATCGTTGAAAGTCTTTACCTTCTGCTCGCGGCCCACAGTGAAGAGAGTCTCAGCCAAGTGGTCAGCAAAGTGATTCTTGTCTAGCTTGTAGATTATGTACTTTTCGGGGAACTTTGTGCCATCTTCATAGTTGTACACCAAGATCACCGGATCGTTTTGCTGGGCAATCTTACGCTTGACTAAGTAGGCCATAGCGTAGAGTGCTTTCCGGTAGACGTTTTTCTGGTGCGACATAAGACAGGTGGAGCGGAATGGGAGCATTGTGACGTTGTGGTACATCGATACGTAATCCTCGACTGATCGCATATGGCTGATGAAAAGGATAGGAGTCTGCGGCCGAAAGTGAGCGATCTTCTGCACCATCCTGGTGGTGACACCGATCACAACGATAGACACTGCATGAACCTCCATTGAGGCCGTTACTACGGCCCTCGCGAGGCTATCCGCTCCCGTGTGGGAACGATCACAATAAGGAGTACGCTCCAGCGCTACCGGGCAGATCTGCTGGAAGATGGCGTTTTGCAGGAAGCGGAAGTAGATGGTGCTTTTGTCACGTGGGCAGGACATCACGTACTTGTCCGGATAGTAGAACGTGTAGTAATAGTGAGCCGGGTCCACCCTAAGCTTTTGTTCGTCTATAAGCCGCGGATCAAAGATAATGGGTTTCTTCGAAGCGTAAGCTAGTTGCATAAAGCACTCAGCGTCGGGACATAGGTGCATGATGTCCGGGACCACCGCAGGCTTGGCCAGTTCCACTAGGAACCCATCGTAGCGCTTGGTGGCCCAGTTCAGCTCCCCCTTGCAGCCTATGATCTCGTTGAGAACCACTCTGGCATACAGCCGCATGCCATCGCAGTGCATCGCGGCCATCGCCTGCTCCAAATCGTCCAGGTACTTTGGGGTGCCTACAATATGAGACACAACCACATTCAAGCCCACCTCTCTGGCGAAAGTCAGGTCCTCCAACTCCTCGTACGAGACCCGGAAACGACGGCACCTTGCCGGAAAGAGGACGGGCATGTAGGAGTAGAGCATCCCGCCCTTAGCCACGCAGCAGTTGAGGTGGTCAGAGTGGATGCTCCGCACAACCAGCTGGATATCCTCGCCAATGAGAATGAAGTCCAAATGCTTCACATCAACTAACAAAAAGCGAGCGTTCACATATATAACCTCCGAGCTGCATCGTTTGGAGTACTCCCGATCCACGGTCAGAACTAACTTTTGGCCCTCCACCAATTCGACACTTGCCTTGTCCTGGCCATCCTGGGTCAACAAAGGGTTGATACCACCGGTGAACTGGTGGCGCGGTGAAATCCTCACCATGACTGAGGACGCCACCGGAAAGCCCAGCTCCTTGGAAACACTGATCTCCGCCTCACGCAGCTTTACGATCAGGTTCTGGTTATCATGTTGGGTGCCCACGAAAAGATTGACCATGAAGCAACGGGCTCCGTTAACTAAAAAGGATATGTTGAAGAAAATCCTGGAAGTTACTCTTAAACTAAGTAGTAAAAAACTTAAAACTCACGCAGATAACTTTTGATCTCATTTTCGCAAGTCATATTTGCCCTAAGTTCCACACATTTCCGGTTCTCGTTGGGATCGGGGGCTTGTGGAGAGGTTAGTATCTGGAAGCCTTTGAAAAAGGCATGCCAGCGATCCTCCTCAAACGGAATTTGGCACAGATCCTCGCTCAATTCCTCGAAGTCGAGTTCCTCGTCCGAGCCCGTTTCAAATTTCTGGTTGAAGCCCGAGGCCAAAGAGATCTTGGAGCGGAAGGCGTTAATTTCACTTTCGTGGCGGAAAATGCTGCCATCATCTTCCGGGCCCAAAAGGTGATAAAAAGTGGTCCGTCGCTGAATGTTTCCGAGCTTCTCCTTGGCCTTCTGCAACTTCTCCACATCCACGGCGATGATGCGGAGTCGGCTAAACATTTGGTCTATTATAGACTCAATGGTCGAACCTCTTCCTTCCGTGTTACTATCCTCATTTTGGCTCATGTTGGGAAACGATAGAGAATTTGGTAAACAAATAAAGAGAAGTGTGATTGTCAAATTAAATTAGCAAAATGTTACTTCGTATTTTAGTAACCCATAAAGTCTGGGTTTTCCTTCAAAGTTGGATAGAATAGTCTTTCTACTTTTTTAAAAATATTCAATAATTTTCTTGAATGTTTGGGTCTCATTATAAGAGATTAAAAAAAAATAATCGTATCTATCACTTTTGTAGTTTTATGTATAGAAAGGAAGGAAAGGCGAAATAAGTCTGTCACACTAACGAATTATTATTTTAGTAGATGATCACTAATTATAAGCTTAGAAGATAATGAGCTTTAATACAGAGGAAAAATTAAATATACTGTAATAATTTTCAAGATCCTGGAGCAATAACAAATCGAAATACCTACAAAGTTTTTTTTATACTACTGATGGTATAGGTACACTTTGTATGGTATAAAAGGTTTTAAATTCTTCCACCTTGAAGGTATAAAAGACTACTGTAAGCACTCTCAATAAACGAGTAAATCGTAACTTAGGGGGAGCCTCATCGCATATGAACTCATCCAACGAGTATGTATTCCTGTAATAGCATACCTTCATAACTGCAGCTATGAAGTTACATAATTTTGTTTTAGATGCAGCTAGTTAGCCGCATTAAGACCCCAGCCAAATCGACCTCCTGCGAACCCAGGGGTTTGTTTATAGTTTTCCTGCCCTTTAGCCACCCATGCATTTCCCATTTCCACTCAGCTTATTCAGTCTTCGTTTTTCTTTTTATAAATTCTCCAGCGATAAAAGAAACCGCAATCCGAAGCGCAGGTAACTTTGGTTTTTTGTTGCCGCTGCTGTTTCTCATTTTTGTTTATTTCCGTAATTTATTTGCCTGTTTTGCCGAAGGCGAAAATGTTAAATTTAGCATCAAGCGTCAAGTGAAATGTTTACAATGTGAGAGAAAGTTAAATGGAAATGCGGGAGGGGAGGTTTTTCTTTTACGAAAACAGGGAGCCCTAACTAAGCGTTTTAGAATCTTTTCGGAATCTTGTTTCACCGGAGGCCCAGCACTTGAGCATTCAGAGATCCGCCCGAAGAAAAAAGGAAAACATAAACATCCAGGAATGTTTAGAGAATAAAATGTACATATTCGCTGCCCTCCTTTTTTTGTGTATGTTCCCCCTTTGTTGTTTATTTTCACCACGCCAACTGATGGATACACCGGCTGACTAAGACTGAGACCCGTACCCATACCCACACCCATGCCAGTAGCCGGATCCGCAGTGGGGATACGGGCTGAAAGACTGGGTGTGGCCGCTGCCATGTTTAGACCAAACAGCCGATCGGCGGATTGTGGATGTGTAGAATTCTTCCGGCTCGACTGCGAAAACCGCTTGAACTTTGACGCCGAACTGCACTCATCGAATCGTTTCCCCCTTTTTTCTTTTTGTCCGTTTTTAGACACGGATTTTTCTATGCCATGGGGCGTGGGTGGGTGGTGTGGTCGGAGTGGCCGGAATGGGCGGAGTGGGTGGTGGGGCTGGCCATCTAACCATCTGCCCATCTGCTGCCATTGAGCGGCAGCATAAATTGCCTGGCTCCTTGGCTCGCGATCGGATCGGAACGTTCGGATCGTTCCTCTGCACTTGAGAGCAGCCATTCACTCGCTCCCTCTCTTTCCAATCCTCTAACCCCCTCTCTTTCTATTCGAGCAGTGCCGTCTCGCTCCCTCGCCCATTCATTTCGTGAATAGAATTTTCTAAATGTCTTTGAGTTTTCAAAATTTTGGAGCGTAGGTGCAGTGCGTCGCGAAGCGTCAGCGTGTACGGTTCGCCTTAGAGAATTCAAGACTATCAACTAGCGATCGGAAAACCACCCACCAAGTAATAGGAAAGTCCTCCCTCCTCCGAAAAGAAAGGAAAACACGTTACACCGTTAAAAATTCTTTAAAATAACTTGCATTTCGACCGATCTTAACTGTGCTCAGTGGCGGGGCATGGAGGGCTCTGGGATCAGGATCTCTGGCAGAGACTCCGCACGGAAGTGGGCGTTTTTCGGCCCTGTTGCCAAGTCCCCAGATACACCACACCCACACAGATACACTCACACACAGCGGCGATAATTTTTCATCTTTCCAATATCCCACTCGACTGGCAAAATATTCGCCTTTGCCGTTTGGCTAAAAATATTTAAAAATCCAAAAATCCACTCGACTTGCTGGCGAACGCTTCAACCTACTACGGCCGCCTGTTTTTCATAATTTTCAGTTTTATTTATTTATCCTATACATACTCGCACGTCCGCATATATCCCCTGAGAGTGTCTGTCTTTTTTGTTTTGCGACTGCCGAAAGTTTTGACTTTTTGCGCTTTTTGCGCCGCTTGTTTAATTTGGCATCTCGTCGTTTTTGTTTATCCCAGCCCCGCCGATTTCCCGGCTTTCCCAGCTTTCCCAACCGCCACCCTTGGCCGTGCATTTTCTCGCTGAGTTTTCCCACATTTTTCGCGGCCTTTGTCTCCGCGCGGCGTCGGTTTTTGGAGTAGGTGGATGCCGCTCCTAATTGCCAGCACCGTGAAACAAATCACAACTTAATGGGCAGCCTCCACCGGAGTGGTTTACAACTTCCTTGCCCAGATATCTTTATAAATATATATATGTGCGCATAGTTGGCATCGGAAGACAGCTGTGTGCATTGGCAGATGCCATCAGCATCAGCATCGGCATCATCGTCGTCGACGTAGTCGTCCATCCCGTCCATCCCGTCCATTGCGTATGTGGGGGAAGTCCATAAAAAAAAGAAACCAAACCAGCACACAGTTATAAAAATAAAACTATTTTCGTATGGCCCCTGCATATAGACTCTCGATCATTAGACATCTTTGCTGATCAGCGGCACAGCCGCCTGTTGGCACAGATTGGTCCAGAGCACAGATTGGTCCATAAATCAATCGAACCAAATTAAATTAATTCAATATCTAAACAACCAAAAACACAAGAACCAACCTCATCGCGGTGCCATGTGTTCGGATCGGTATGTGTCGATCAGGCTATATCAGTGTACTATATATCTAAATTCTAGTCGATTTGTCTTTTTCCGCTTACTGGCGTTTCATTTAAACAACGACAGGAAAGGGAAAAAGGCGTATTTACTAAGAGTTTTGCCAACGATTCGCAGTTGGTCATTCTAAACACCTAAATATCTATACATAGGTAAGTATGTATTACCAGTTGGAAGATATATACTCCATTTGACTAATCAAAGTCAACTGTTTCAACGACGCATGCAGCTCATTTTGCGGCTCATTTACAATCATTATCATCAAAATAATTGGCATCCAACAAAAATGTCCAACAAATCAGAAAACTCGAAGTAAAGTTAAAGATAGAACCCTTCATGTTTCTCTAGAGTTTGTTCTCTACAAACTGTGAATGGAATCAAATTAAAACGGCTTGAACCCAACCAAGGACTAGACCAATACAATAGAAAGAAACAAGTATTGTTCAAAGTTCAGGTCTTCTAATTTCACAAGAACATTTTGAAACAAGAACCAAAAAAAAAAGAGAAGATGAAAAATGTTTTCGTATTCGGTCGTTTTCCCGATTTAGATTTTTCAATTGCTAAGCATTTAATTTGAATTTTTGAATTTCGATTAATATTAAATTATATCACAGCCCGAACAAAGAAACAATACTCGCCAGATTCCCCTGCAAGCGAATTTTAACAAATTGCTCCACCCGCCGGGAGCAGATCCAATTCAGATCCAAATCGGGGCATTCTTCGGCTTTGCCGTAGCGTTTCAAATGAAACGAAAATTAAATGTAAAATTTATTGTTGCATAAACAAAATGCCAAGAAACCGACCGCATCCAAATCGAACGATGCGTATGTGGCACCTTTAAGTATTCTGCCCCGCCCGCGATGGTTCCACCCATCCAAGCCTTATACGCTGCCCATGCCCATGCCCATTCTCATCCGCATCCTCAGCTTCATCTCCATCCCATTGGGCCCCGACATCTTCATCTGGCCGGCTGCTGCTATGTAGAACGCATATAGTATGGTCCGCTGGAGAGGATGGAGAACTTAGTGCTGCCTCACGCCCAGTGGCCAAAAATAACATCAATGAGGGCAAAGCGCGGCGTCGGACGCCGTGTGTTTGCTTTGTTTATAGTTTTGGTGTAAACAATTGCGGGCGGAAAAACCGATTTCCCGACATGTTCACGTTCGAGAAAAATCGAATCTGGAAAATGCCCAAAAAGTAGAATACAGAAGCTATTGCAGCTGGAATCGCACTGGGGAGCGCAATTAAAAGTGGCCACGGCAACAGCATCAATCCTATTAGTAGACATCATTTTCCACAACTTGAAAGGAGGAGGTTAAAGATTATTTTACTAAACAGATGATGCAAATAAAAGAATCTTTATAATTTTTTGAGAAATCTTTTTGTAAAATATGCATCTTTGCATGTTCCAATCTGAGTTTACTCAATTTCTGAACTCTTTCGATGCCACATTTTATCTCCTTTGAGTGTTATGATGTCGGAGATGAGCAAAAAAGACCCTGATCCGGGGTCGAACATAAATTAGGAACCCTGAATTGCAGGCCGATATTCGAAATTGCAATGGGAGATGGCAGATGGGCCTGGGTAAGAAGCTTGCTCTTTAATTAATTCTTAGAACGGGTTTCAAGTAAATACCCGCGGATTCATAATGTACATATCGTATGTATGTAAGTAAGTGTCTGGATATTGGCAGATAACCGGTAAACAAGGCGACCAGCCATTCCAATTCCATTTCATTTTTGGCAATATAAAGAGCTGTCTTCGCTGACTCAGAGTCAAATCAAAGTCAGCATCCCATCCAGACAGCAGCATGTTCAAGATTGTGAGTATTGCCCCGACGGCTGGTACCACACCAAGGATTACCCCATTCCGAATCATCTTGCCAGGTCATCATCTCTTTGGCTTTTTGCCTGGCGGTCGTTCTTAGTGCTCCGGTTGACCACGTGACCTCCACCACCCAGCCACCGGTGGCCATTCTGGAGTCATCCCACGAGAAGCACCATGATGGATCCTACCACTTCTCTTACCTCGGCGAGGATGGCACTCACCGCAGCGAGGAAGCGGTGGTAAGGAACCAGGGCACTGAAAACGAGTACCTCGAGATCAGCGGCTCCTATTCCTACTTCGATGCCAATGGCAAGGAGGTAACCGTCACTTACAAGGCCGATGACCATGGATTTGTTCCCGAGGGCGGTGCTATCCTGCCTCAGATTTCTCTGGCCGCCAAGCAGGTCAGTGAGCAGGTGTCCCAGCCAGATCTTGATTACGATAAGCCTCCTAAGGTCTAATAAAAGAATGACATCGGAACCTAGTTCTTGTAGTATGGTGTAAGAGGGAAACAAGTTTAAGGTTGCGATTTTATCTAAATTAAAGAATAAGAATAATAATTGTTCCAATTTACGTTTATGGCGATTAATCATAAAAACCTTAGTTCCTATCATGGAATTATTATCGGTTATCGGTTTTTAATTATGACTTTGGCAGACTTTTTCAACGTTGCTATCTTTGAGAAATGGGAACTTGATAAATATAGTGAAGTAAAACACTTTGGAAAAGTTATTATACTATATAATCACAGTAATACGATGTTTAGTTAAACCTATTTGATGAGAGTAATATGATGAATAGTAAGAATAAATCACTTTCCCAATTCGAAACAAAAGAAGTAAAAGTTAATGTTTACTTTCTTCATTTAATGCAGAAACAATTTCAACTACAAAATAATAGCTAGAGGACCGCCAGCCATCCGGCGGACCATCCTGGGGTTCGTAAAGGTTAACAGTGCGCTGAACAAATTGAGAATACAAAAATACGACTAAGGATGGGGGCAGGGAGGTCGGGGTGGGGCGGGGAGTTATTATAATACATAAAAGCTCAAAGATTAAATTAAAAACAATGCAATAAATAAGAATTGGATTCTGTCGGGGAAGTGGGTGTGCGGCCCTTTCACTTTTTGAAGGGTGTGGCCGGGGGCGATCGATAGTTGACCAGGCCGCCGCCCGAATTGGGTTTTCGGGTCTTCAAACGGTTCTGGAGCGTCTGCAGCAGTCCGGCGAGCACGTCGTGGTTGGGGATCTTCTTGGCGAAGAGCAGGCGCTTCACGGAGTCGTCGTAGGTTAGCAGGGCCACCATGTTCTGGAGCAGGAAACACTGGCAGTACTCCAGCAGGCGATTGGCATTGTAAACCTAATGAAAGGGTAACGGGTTAGACACCCTATTAAGGAGAAGGTGCAGTTCGCATCCTACCTTAGCGTGAATGTACATGGCCACCACGTTGTCCACATCCACCATTTCCGAGCATCGTGCTTCCGTGTAGCGCAGCAGCCCCTCCAGCTGGAAGAAGCTGGCCGCAGCCATTAGCTCGAGTACATCTCCGTGGGCAACGTCCAAGGAGCTGCAGCCGCCGCAGTAGAGGAACTGCATCACCAGCTGGAAGATGTGGTAGCGGATGTCGTTGATCTGCACCGTGGGCGTCGAATTGGCCTCACTTAACTTAGAGCTCAGCATGCTCTGGAAGCGGGGCGAGGCAGTGACCAGGACAATCTTGTGTCCGTAAAAGATCTTTCCTTCCACTCTACAAAATACATTTTTCGGTTAGTTGGAAACGATTTTAATTTAAATCTAATTTACGATATAAAAAATCGAAAATTATTTGGGCCTTTTAACGCGGTTACACCCACCTAAAGGTCACATCGCTCAGCTCCGGGTTGTTGACGAACTTGGGGTCGATGCGAGATCCCTGGACGGGTTGCATGGGTGGTTGTTCCTTCACCGGAGGCAGTGTCTCCCAGCCGAAGCAGGTGGCGAAGATGTCCGCAAGCAGGAGAGTGGTGCCCTCGTTCTTGTTTCGGAAAATGTTGAACAGCAGGGGCAGGCACTCGCTCACAAACTGGGCACTGTAGTCGTCGGGACACACCTGGAGGAAGTCCTGGAGCAACTGGTCTATGACCGCATCCAGGCGCAAGTCGTGGGCAGCTGACAGGGCGTGCATCCAGCAGTGCAGAGTCCAGGGAACACCCAGTTTTCGCAGCTCAATGGTTATATCTGTAAGCCAGAAAGTGCAGAATGCTGTTAGTTAAATGGGAATACACAGTAATTGTTTATTTTCGGTTAACAATAAATCTCTCCTCAAAATACAAATAAGCGGACTGCTTGTAAACAAAACTCTTTCACCGTTTCGTATCTGGTTTGAAATTGTATTTTGACTAATTTTAATACAATCTGAAGCAGATCAAATGTATTAGAAAATCATTAAAGCTCGATTCATTTAATCGGTCATTGCTGTCTGCCTAATTTGAATTGCAAATGATTTCGCAACCAGCTTTCTTTCTGGTACGGGTAATGTTATTAACCAAACATATTTATGAAAATAGTATTGACATTTTTGTTGTTGCAGGAAGAACTCCTCTTTGCCAAAAACCAACTCCTTTTTGAATGAATCATTCTCTTTCTATTTGGAATTCACTTCCCTTCAATTTCGGGGTTTTATGTGTAACAGTTTTTAAATTATTAACTTATTATAAACTTAAATATGGTATTGTAAAGCTTTTGCTTATAAGTGGAGGGGGACTTAGAAAATTATGTAAAGTCAAAGAAAAATGTAACTTTAGTATTATCTAACCTTATTCATTCTTTCACCTTCACTCCCCTCCAAAGTCTACTTACCCAAGTGATTATTCTCGGCACTGTGGTACATGGCCTCCTGGAGTCGCTTGATCTGCGTCTTATTTAGAAGAGGCAGCAAATCCTCGTTGTTTCCACTGGCACTACCATTACTTGGTCCGCCAGAGGAGCCACCTGCTCCTCTCACACCACCCACATCGCCTTCGGCCAGCATCTCCTCAAGGGAGAGCACATCCCTAGTTCCGGGGGAAACAGGATGGGTGAGCAATTTACGAAGACATGACCGATGTCCATGGGCAGCTGCCACGGAAATGGCGCAAAAGCAGCCTTTCTGGGCAGATCCCGCAAAGCACAGTGAATCCTTCTGCTGCGTGGACAAAAAGGCGTTGGCGCCGTGGGCCAACAACAAGGCCACGATCTCCAAATTGCCTGTACCGGCAGCCAACTGAAGAGGGGTAAGCGTGCACTTCTCCTCGCTACTCCTGGCACCGCCTTCGACTTTTCCGCCTCTTTCTAAGAGGATCCTCAAGGCCACATAGTTGGCCCGGCTAGCTGCGAAGCAAAGAGCCGTCCAGTGTTGGGTATCCGCCTGAATGGCTGGGTGGCCAGCGCTTCCAGCAGGAGGCACCTCCACGTTCGGATCGCATCCGGCGTCCAGGAGGGCGTGCAGCGCCACCTCGTCATTCCGGATGCTGGCGATCATTAGAGCGGTTAGTCCGGCACTGTTTTGGGTATCGTAGCGAGTGGTTGGCGGTAGGAGCTGGGCAGCCTGGGCCAACAGTTCCGCCCGACCAGTCAGAAGAAGCTGCCGGAGGAGATCAAGTCAACATTGAGATTAAACTCCATCTCACAAAACTACTACTATTTCTAAGGTTATGTTCTCCCAATATCTCACCTTGAAGGCTACTCCGATGGTGGCACGTCTACCCAGTTCGGAGGTGTCCTCTCCGATTCCAATTCCAATCCCGCTGACCACCGGCGAACTGCAGCTGCTGCTTCCCGTTCCTGTCGAACTTGAAGTGGGAGGATTGTTGAAGTGAGTCTTTTTCGTAGGCAACTCCTCGTCATGGGCCACCGGTCTGATGGGACAGTCCACTCCTGGAAGCAGCAGTCTTGCAGCCTGCATCACGTCGTCCTTGTCGATCATCAGGGAACTCCGGTGCTCAGCATGAGCGGAGGCCACTCTCAGCCACTCGGCCAATGGGGGCAGCACCACATACGCCCTCTCGTAGCACAACTCTTGGACATGATGGCCCGCAGATGGAGCTCCAGCTCCCGGTGGAGCTGCCTGGGCCTGGCCAGAATTGCAGCCCGAAGCGGCGAGAAGTTCCGTGTGCTCCAGTTGAGAGCACCGCATAAAGTAGAAAAGAGCCGCCAGAGCGGATCCGGAAAGGGCGGCGGCTAATTGGAACTCCTGTTGGGTGCGCAGAGCTTTCTCTTTAAGCTCCCTGATACTTCCCACACAGGTGGCCAGGTGACCCCAAAAATCTCCGGAACTGAAAAACATTCAAAAGAACAAGATTTTAATTGTTAGTTTAGGTAAATAAATAATAATTATTTTACTTTTAAATTAAAGGATGCCTAAAGTTTCCAATTCCTTGTTTCTTTAAGGATGAGAAATTTTTGTTTTATAAAACAAAATTATTATTTAAGAAATTTAAATCCTATTGATAGATAGTCGCAGACCGGTTGATAAATTTCATTTTAATTTTAAAAGCAAGTAAATTAAATGAAGATGGAAATTGTGTTTGCTTTTCCGGTGGTCTTAAGACGGAAGGCAGCTTTCAACACCAATGAATTTAATAATTCACCCATATTTCCTTGGTCATTAATTTATTATTATTTCAACGCTAAAATCAAAGCTGAACGAAAACGCACGCCATAGGTACATGCGCGTCTCTTGGCTGGATTAATGGAGTAGACACAGCTAGATTAGACTCCAGCTAGTGCGAAAAGATTAAAATGACAAAGAGCATATGTTTATAAGGATTGAGGAATTAGTATTAACTATTTCGGATAACATTAATAGGGAGATTTAGAAACATATTTCAGATTATAGATTTTAACTTAAAGTGTATTTTCCAAGAATTCAAACAACTTTGAAGTTGGATCACATCGACTAGTCCTTGTCTGAATTTCTATTTATTTGACTAACTTCTTTTACATTTATTATACAAATTACTTCACCCTTTATACATATTTGAAAAGCAAATAGTATATACCTTATACTTTGATCCAAGGAACTGGCCCATCTGGGCACAGCCAACGCCCCACTGGCTACTCGCCCCGCGTTCAGATGGGCAAATGGTTGGAGTAGTCCCCACACTTCGCTGGAACTGGATAGATACGTTGCACATGTAATAAATAAATATTATTAATTAATATGTTATAAGGGTAACTTTACAGAAATATGAATTATCAAATGAAGCAGGCGAAGAAATTAGATGGAGATAGGAGATCAAAAAGCCGAAAAGCAATAAAATGAAGAGTTTGTACCTTATACTTTGATCCAAGGCGGCCGCTGTTGTTCCATTGCACTGCAAGGCTATCTCCTCTAGGAGATTTTCGATGCCCGCGCACAGATACACCGCAGCATATTCGTGGATGAACTTTCCCAGCCTGGCATCCGTCATCCAGCGGTAGAAGCGACCAACGGACAACTGAAGTCCCGCTCTGGCGGATTTGCTCTGCTTCAGGGCACTTTCCCCGGGAACCGCGAACATGGCTGCGGCTCTAAGGCACGCCTTTGTGCAGGAATCCGCCAGAGAGGAGCTGAGCACCACCCGTAGGGCTCCGGCCACCTCCTGTTTGGAGCATAGACCAACCCCCGCGGAGAATCGCTGGATTTCGCGGGCGATCCTCACCAGTGCCCGCTGCAGCAAATAGCCCAAGCGGGACACCGCCTCAACGGCTAGTTGCTCAGCCTTCTGCTGGCATCGGCCGTTTCTTAGAACCCTCAGGATGCACTGCTGACTCCAGGGCGGATGCTGTAGCTCCACCAGCCTGTTGTGCGAATCAACCCACACGAATTCATCGGCACTGGTGCTTGTAACCACAGTCTCCAAGGAGGAGTATCTGCCCAAACGGCGGGCGGGTTCCGAGCTCTCCGATCCAGCGCTCAAGCTGCTGTAGGTGCTGCTGCTAGTTTGGGACCGCAGTGTGAGCATGGCCAGCTTGATGTCCTCCAGCCCGGTTCCGCTCCAAGGAGCTTTTCCGGCTGGCATGATGCCACGATGTCGCCGGGAACGAGTGCTTCTGTTGGTCACTCCGGCAGCAAGGCGATCTTCGGGCAGCGGACCCAAAGTCATTCCACCTGCTGGCGATGAACTGTGGCCCCCTGTATCCGACATGCTGGCGTGTCCGGAGCTTCGGTTCTCGTCCGAGGAACTGTGGCACTCCTGCACCCGCTGCATTGCCCGGAACTGATCATGCTGGTGGGTCCTGGCTGGTGTGGGGTTCCCCGTTGTCGTGGGAATTCCCAGAGTGGGTCGGCTGGGCGAGACTTGGCTCTGGCCTAGACTCCCACTCAGCTGTGGTGGCTGCGATTTCACGGGCGTACTCTGCACGGTCAGCCGTGCGGGTCCTGCCACCGCGCGCTGTGGAATCACTGCCTTCGAGGCAGACACCGGTGACGGCATCTTACAGGACGAGCTCACCTGTCCGGCACTGAAGGTGGTCACCACCTTGTGGGGTATCCCCTTGTTTGGCTGCTGAGCCAGCTCCTTGAAGACTCGAGGAGCAGGAGTTGCCATTGCCACAGCCAAACCCTTCTGTGGCGTCAGGGGCGTCTGTGAGAGGGGTTGTTGGTGCTGCTGGTGAGGCGGCGATTGCAACTGTGGCGGGGGCACGGGTGGCAAGCCGGTCATCTGGCTGGGGGCCGGATGCTGGCCAAAGTTTGTAGGCAAGTTGCCAGTTGGTCTGGAAGAGAAGCAATACATTAGGTCATCTGCTGTCCATATATTAAATTTTATTATTATAATTATGTATAAAATATATTTATTACTAATTTGTTATTACGAAATATATTAATATTTATAAGCAAAACTAACTACAAAATTCTAAAACTTTGCAACATAAATATTTACATTTAGCTGTAGCTAAAATTCTAAAAGAAACTAAGTACTAGTGGCTAAACTTATACATTCAGAAGCTTTTAATATTAGAGATATCGTTTAAGTTCAAATTAAAATATTATTTTCGCCGTGACCCATTCTCAGCCCCATAAATGATGCAATTAATTTAAATTCTTTGGCAACAAAGGAATCCCAGCCAAAATAAACAAAAGCTTCGACTAACGGGCTGCTGAAGAAGATGTCACACTGCCGCTAATCTTAGTTCACACCAACTTCTGTCTTCTAGTTAGTCACGAGCCGAACTTGAAGGCAGTGGCACCTAATTAAGAGTAGTCGCAGTCGGAGAAAACGAGATAAATATGCAAAGATCGTACTAAGTCGAGTGTTTGTTTGCGAAACTTTGTAAAACATTAAGACTCCTTAAGGTATTTAAATATTTTAAAAAGGCAGAGTTTAGGAACATATTTAAGATTTGATAAATAAATCTATGGTATTAAATAATATTTTAAAATGAATAAAAACATCAAAATGTATACATCAAAAGAGAGCTAAGCTCATCTTGGTCTCCACTATTCTGCTGACTTTGTGATTATCATCTTCTAACTGGGTTGGCCAACAGTGAACACCAAATACAAAGCGATATTAAAAGCCAGTTACGATTTTTCATTTGCATGCGAAAAAGTCGCTTGTCTCCGGCTTCTTTGAATCTCCATTCTTTTTGTACAAAGTTATCATTCAGATTCTGCCCATCCCTTTGACAGTCTATGCTGTAACTTGAGCTCCGATTGACCCAAATTTTAAATGCTGAGATGGCTTTTTGTCTTTCTTGACAATGTATCTCGAATATTTAATACAGATCTTAAGAGCCTGAACGGGGTCTGTGCCAAATGCGATTTATGAGTGGAACTTTGAATTTCTTTGGGGTACTGTTAGTATGATCTAATTCTGAACTTGAAACTTGATTTGCCTTTGGGGTATCGAGCAATGACCTTTACCTTTCTGGTAAATAAAATGTATTTTCAATAACATTATTATGATACAAATTACCTATAAGCCAAAGCAATTTCAAAACTGTATGAGAGTTATTTATTCCACAAATCCTCTTGTCTTTAAAATGAAGACAACCTATCAATTATTCAAAGAAGTTGTATAATTTCCGAAAGAACTGATCCATATTAAAGAAGCGTATTTAACGGGCCTACGAATATATGTAAATTCAAGACAAATCTTTATGATCTTTGTCTTAACATTATGAGTTATAAAATCAAACATCTTCTCTAATGAAGAACTATAAAATAGACAAGTTTTACCTTCCGAGAAGCTTTCTAGTATAGGATTTCCTATTTTCTTTTCAAATTTCAAAGCTGGAAGATATCCCATTTCTATTCTTAATCCAATTAAATCTAATTTAATTAACTTTCTGATTTGCCGAACTGTAACTAAATTTTGATCTGGCGAATTGATGTCAATTCTGACATCTTCCCGACCTGGATTCGATTGCCTACGCCGAATCCTCTTTAATCCCAAATCACGTTCCTTTCCCTTTCCCCAATCGAGTGGCCACCCAATTCTACGCCCAGAAGAAATCCCTTTTCCACCAACTTTCACAAAAGAATGGCAGCAGTGCAATATAAATAGAAATGGAAAATGAGAAATGGAAAATGGAAAATGGGAATGAAAATGGGCAATGGGAATGAAGAATGAGGAAATAAATAATGGCGTATGATCTGAAGAGTTCCCAGTACCGTTTCGCGGCCCTCCGCCACTCCTGAACGTAGCTCCAGTCGCACGAATCCGTCTCCGCCTCATCTTGGCCAGGGTCGTCGCTATCATCATCCTCATTACCATCGTCATTATCACCGGCGGCTGCATCGGATTTCGTTGGACCCACGACGGCCAGAGTGGGTTTCGCCACCGTTTCCACCAGCGCACTGGCTCGCCGGTAATTGCCTTCAATTCTGATATTAATTACGCCATTCTGCACGCTCTCAATGTAGGGCGGCAGTTCGTCATCCGCTGGCGGGGCTGTCTCCGGTGCCGCCACCATCTTCTCCTGCTTCGCTGAGCCCTCCTCCTCCACAACGCTGGTCTTCAGTTTCTGGGACATCTCTTGCAGCAGCTGCGAGTGGAGTTCCTTGGGCGAGGGCAGTGGCGATTGCTGGCCCCGATTAATCGAGTCTCCGAAGTATATGACCACCTTGTGGTTGGGCTTCTTCGCCCTCGAAGAGTCTTCGTTGGCCCAGTCGGGCAGCTCTTCAATTGGCGTGGGCGACGGCGTTTGCGGGGGGCGTGGCACCGGCATCTGTTGGGCCAGCATCTCGCTGTTCCTCAGCGATTGCGGCTGGAAGTTCTTGAGGGAGATGCCCCGTCGTCGCAGGATGAAATTGTCATTCAGCATCCTGCTGAGCAAAGTGGGTCCGGCAGGTGACGCCTTCTTGCCACTGGGCTTGTAGCCACGCAACTCGCGACACAGGCTGCAGGTGCAATCTTTGGTGCAATACATCTTGCTTAGTTTGGCTTTGGTTTCATTTCAGATATATTACAGGCGAAAAGCCCTAGTTTTAGGGCCTTAATTTAGTTAATTTATAAAATTAGTGGCTTATTAGTTGTTATACTCTTTTTACCTATTTTGTTCCTTGACAAAAAAGGTAAAATAAAGTAATATTACTATTTATTTAATACGGTGTTTTAAGAATTTTTAGATAAAAATCGAAATTTTTCATTGTTTTCCTTTTGATAAATTTTTACAACTTTTCCACTCAAAGAATTGGTTTTTAAAATGTTGATACTTTTATTTCTTTTCATATTTTTCAATGGATTTTGGACAATTGGAATAATTTCTTTGAGCACTCCGCGTTTTCCATTTCACTGTCGCACTTGTAATAATAGCAATTATGCAAATTATAAATTGCCGTGGCTCTGGTGTTCATCCATCCGCGGCCGAGACTCCGAAAGTCGAGCATTTGAAAACTCGACCCGCCGAATATCCAAAACTCGCGGTACCGTTCGCTCTCGGCTGGAACTGAAGCTCGACTGAATTGGAAGCCCGGATTTGGCCCGAGCCCCAGCTGTGGCTACGCTGACGACGACGGCGACGCCGAAGTCGACTGCGCTGCCAAGTCATTCAGTCATTGTCGGCGGCGATATCTGTTTTTCCTCATTTTCACAGCGCGTTTTGGGCCTCTGGGCCCGGGGCTCCGGCCACCTTGCATGGAGGGTCTTCGGGTCTCCGGCTGTATCGGCTTGGGTAATTTTTCCATTTGCTTCTCAGCTGTGTGACCAAAACAATGGAGCTGCAACAACGACATCCAACAGCCGCCAGCCGCGCAGAAACAGCAACACCAACAGCAGCAGAAGGCAGCTTTTGAGGGCTCACTTTGAACGCCGTGCGATGTACTGGAGCAATATTAGTGAGTTTTCTTTTTCATTTTCCTCGCTGGCCTGTTGTTGCTGCAGTGATTTTCCAAAAGTCACTGCGATCGCCGGCAGTGATGCTCATCGGGGGAAATAATGGAAATTTGACAAATGCAGATTCTGCCTGTTACCTTTAAAAACTAAAGCTATTGGCCTTAAGTATTTTTCTTATTTTTAATCCGTTTTAAAATTCTGAATTTTTTAAAGTAGAGGAATATTTATATTGCAGTTTAAAAATCACACTTTTTAAAAGTTTAATCCAGTTTTAAGCCTTAAAATAATTCTGGGAAAATCACAAAATCAGTCTCACGTTGACGATTTTTGTTAAAAAACACAAAACCAGTTTATTTATATTTTTAGAATAAATAAATAAGCTTTATTTTGCTAATAGTTAAATTATATTTAATAGCTCTAAAATAAAGATAATTAATATTGCAAGGCTTAACAAAACTCAAAGACTTTTCTCATTACAATTTTAGATACTTTTAATTACCGCTTAACATTTTTCAAGGCTAGTATTTAGTTTAAATGTTTAAAGCACCCAAGACATGTTGATTTTAAGCTAATTGAAGCAGTTTTTGCTATCATAAGAGTATATGATATAGTGAAACCTCCCAGGCAGCTCTGATAAAGTGACTGGCCAAAGTGGCTGCGACTACCATCTCTGTCAGCGGGCCTTGCACTGAATTTAATTATGTATAACTGTTTGGCGGGGCCAAGGGAGCATAGCACCACCCAGCAGCACACGAAGGTTATACAATCTCGACACTTATCAGATCGTTTTGCCAGCTTCCTTCCAGCCCGGGATCGCCCGGTTCAAGCCCCATTCCCGGCTCCCAAGAGAGTGAGAGCAGCCGTGTTCTGAGCTTGGGCAGACGTGCGTAGGCTTCGAGATACATCTACAAGATACATCTCATGTGTGGAGCAAATAAATTGCCGAGCGTAACTTGCTTCTAATGATTTACACAAGCTCATTGGCTGACATAACGGTTTCTTGAGGTTAGCCTTTTGTTTTTCCGATATTAACTACTCCGAAGCAGAAGCTTCTCTTTTGTGGATCAAGAATGAAATGGGAAATGATAAATGCCCAAATAGGTGCGGTCCGAAACCGCAGACCCGAAAACCTCAATCCCAAATCCATACGCACGAAGCAATCGTAATTAGAAAGCCACGGTCCTCTGATCCATATACCCAGATCCCCGAAATGAAAATCGGGCATTGAAACGCCCACGAAATGCGGAAAACTGTCTGCTGCTCTAACTGTCTATCTTCTTCGGACCGATTATACAATAACTTTCTTCAGTAGCCGCCGGTTGTTTGGGTTTCTAAGCCAGGTGGATTATTAAAAAAATTACACCCTGAGCAATTTTCGCATTAAAAAGTTTAATTTACGGAAAAGTAATGACAGGCCATAAATACGCTTACACCCATTAGGCCGAGCTTCATACGCCGCACTCAAAAGACCTCCCAAAAATAAAAAACGAAACAGAAACAGAAACACAAAAACTACACCAAAAAGTTTAATGTAATATTCGCGTGTTTATAAAACAACTCGGCCAAGAGGAAAAAACGACTCAAAATGGGTGGAAAAACTGGACAAAGGCAATAAGTGCAACTCACCCGAAAGTAAAGAGAAGAAATGTGGTTAGCCCAACCCTTTAGTATCGGAGATATATCTACCATATGGGTTTAAGTGTGTCACCCGACTAATGAGGTTTGGGCAACTTTCGTTTTTCATGCCTGATGCCTGACAGTATTAGACAGGAAATGGTGTTCGGTTTTCGGCTCTAGATCGTAGATCATTAGAACCAGGTCTTCCAGCGAGATCATTAATAATCTTCAGCTGCCAAAAATATCAGCAAGTTATGGCATGGAAATGGAAGTCGAAGCAAGGTTAGCCTAATGTCTTAAGCCCCAAAGCGAACTGAGAGACTTTGCCCAAATACTTGCTTCACTTCGACGAATTTTCATTTCACTTATTTTCCCTGTAAGCCATGAAAGATTTACCAAAATGTGATTGACATGGATTGCCCAAGTAAAACTTCTTTCGGGCTGAGTCATGTTTTCTTTTGGGCCTGGGAACAGTGTGGATTTGTTACGAAATCTGAATGTGTAGGAAAGTTATTCGAGAGTTAAGAAACTTTTGGAAAATGTCAAGCTGTCAGTTAGCAATGAGAACTCTCCGAATGTGTGTATTTAACGAGAAACTCCAGAGCAGCCGTGAAGCCAAGGATACTAATGCCATATTCCCAGGGAAATCATACATTCTATCCCAATCAAGTCAAGTTAGTTTACACACCCCACCTGTGTGCCTTCCAAATGATATAGCCGGGACTCGACGTGGTATCCCGACACCATCAGTGACATGGCAATTGGCTGTAACTGTTATGAAACCCCAACATCTGACAAATTGCTACCTACTCCGAGTGCTATCGGCCCTATCATATCATCACATCTAGCTGATTAGAGTTTAATATGCTGCGACTACTGCGAGGCGTCCGCGGAGATTTCCGCATTCAACCACATCCCCATCGCCAATTGGAGAGGCTGCGAAGTGGCAGATGATGATGAGGCAGCTGATGAAGATGCAGCGGCGACTGGCTTTGCTTCCGTTTGAAGACACTATCTTCCTCGACGGCAGCTTCCACGGCTTAATTAGTCGCCTGTCTATCCAGGTCTATCAACAGGCTGCTCCATTCCGGCCACAGCTGACGCCTCCCCCAACAATCTCCCACACATTCGGCCCCGAATTTTCTCTGCTTTCAACTCTTGGCTTTCGCGGTTTTGGCCAGGGCGATTCTGTTTTGATGGCAACTACTTAGTTAGCTAAGTATATTTTGACAAACACCGCGGAGTATCTCACAGATACCTGTATCTCAATCTCCATCTGTATCTGTATCTGTATCTGTAACTGTGGCCGTAAAGAAAGTCGCGGTGAGGTAAAAAGGTAACAACATTTTCACTTGCCCCACGTCGCCGCATTATTTCTTGTGCCAGCTTTAATGCTGCGTTCGAAATACCTCCAAACTGAAGATGCGACGGCGATTGGGGCAAAAGGTACGATTCGGGCGGGGATCGAGGGAAAGACTTGGGTATGAGTAAGTGTATCAAGTTTGTTGCCCTCGCAGATGGCTCTGCCCTCCTCCTGGCCATTGTCATTGACTTTGTTGGCTACAAATTGCTGTTGCTTCTGCTGCTGCTGCTGGATTGCTGCCGCTGCTGCTGGCAATTGTGGCGAATTTTTCGTAAATTTTTCCTATTTCAGTTCGTTAGCTATTATTATTTTATTCCCCGTATTGTTGGGCCCAGCTAATTATTCACATTTTGCGATTTTCACTTTCGTTTGTTGTGTGAAATATTTCCAACTGTCATTTGTTTGTTGTTACTCGCATTTCAGACTTTTAATTGCCACAAAGAGAGAAGCGAGCCACAATAAAGTTTCGTAAATGCCAGTCATATTTCAGTTTCCTGGAGGGCGGCCAGATTTCGATCGGCAATTGTCTGGCTCCGCCGGCCGATTTCTCAATCGAGCTTGAACTTTGCGAGAAGACAGCTTAAACCTAAAACCTTCGGTCGCAGCCTCGCTTTTAAGCATCTGTATCTGAATTTGTAGGTCTAAACGTAGCTCTAGTCTCGTTTTAATTGAATTAGTCTTGTCTGACTGGGCCGGGCCCGCATTTAATAATTATTCATCTCTACCTGTGCTGGGGTCGTAAAGCAAGCCCCATCTACTTTTTGTGGCACACATCCGGAGCAATCTTCTTTGCCCCGCCTTCCGTCCCCCAGACCCTTCTCTACTAGAAGAACTGACATTAATATTTTCCAAATTAACCTTGACCGGCTTCACAATGCGAAAACGAATCGCAGACGGATCGTTCCCGTTGGCTCTCGCAAGGCGACCAAGAAGCCACGATCATTCGAAACAAACAAACAATTCATTATTATTTCCGAAAATCGTCTAGCGTCCGCTATTCTGCCCCTTCCACATACTTCCCATCCAACCTCTTCTCCACGTCGCCGTTTTTGTATCATTTCCGAAAAGAAGTTGGTCGCTTCGGCCCAGAATAGAAGTTTATTGTCCGTTCAGTCCGGCCCCTCTGACCTGTCCCCTTCGGGCTTTCCCCTCCCAAAGCCGCCTCACTTCACGCTTTTGTGCACAATTATGCATGCAAGTGTCCAACTCCAAAAATAGTTGCCATTGTGGTGGATCTTCCAGCGTCTCGACTGGCGCTTCGAAAGCCGGTATGAAATGAGAGCGTTAAGTATTTCAAATACTCCAGCGGAG